GGGGGGTTGATGTCTGGGGTTAGTTGCAGGCGCGTAGCCATGGGGGGGGGGGGGGGGGCACGTGCCCCCCCTAAAATTTCCAGGATCGGTTGAAATTTTGTAGACCCCTTTTTTTGACCTCGATCGATTACATGTATGTGCCCCCCCCCCCCCAATATCAAACTCTGGCTACGTGCCTGGGTAGTTGCCCGGGGATAGATGTCCGGGGGGTACTTGACTTGGGGTAGATGTCCGGGGGGGGTATTGTTCGGGGTAGATGTTCAGGGGTAGTTAGCTGGTAGTTAGCTGGGGGGGGGGGTTATCATTCTAGGGGTAGTTAGCTGGGGGTAGTTGGCAGGGGGTAGGTGTCCTCGATTAGAGATTATGTCTGACATTTCTTTCGGGGGAGTCCCCTCTCTCGTGGTTGTAGCTCCATGGTAATGAGCAGTGTCAGAACACTAAAGTTACAACAAATCACAGCAATAAACAAAACTGTGACGGAGACGTTCTTAATATTGAGCACTTAAATCAGGCAGATATATCAATTACTTCATTGTAGTACAATATCCAGAAAGACCAGAAGATATTGTAGAAATCAAAAGCATAGAACAATAAAAGCAAGTGGCAAGGACTGCTTCTTCTGTTACGAAAGTGAATGTGTGCGTGAGTAGAACGTATTAACGTACGGCTATATTGTGACTTTGGACAGTGGGATGAATTTAGACTCTTAAGCCAAGCCAATAACCTAGATAGCCAGATTGTCTGAGCCAGACCGGGACCAGATCTAACAGTAACAGGCACTGACAAGATCTGAATAGATAATCTTACACTATAAAACCATAACCTCTGCAATTTACTCACATTGATTGAGAGAGTATATAGATATTTTATCAGTCAAAGGGTTCTGCAATCGTTCATTCAAAACATGCAAATATGTTTCGCGCGATCTCGTTATACAGCTATTTATGATTTGTTATATGAAAGTACGCGTTGTTATTTGCTTGTTAACCGATTATCATTTCAGACTTGTTCTTGTTTATATAGCTGCTTGAGTGTTTCAGAAGTAGGGAAAACTGTAATATAAATGTGTTTTGTTTGTATTTGCCTTTGAATAAATTTCGTTCTCATGAATTCACACCGTGTACCGCGTACCAATTGGTAGTCTTCAGTATAAGTAATTGATACGTTCATCACATGAAGAAAGGTAATTCATTCACACAGTCATGAAAATATAACATCGCAATCCAACGTTTCAATGTCACTAATAGCGTACATATATATATATATATATATATATATATATATATATATATATATATATATATATATATATAAAATATATGTTACATATCGTGAACATATTTCATAATCACATGCATAAAACAATCAGCGTCAATATTTAAATACATTTAAGGTCACTTATTCAATTACTTTTTTTTCTACGAACATTGAATTCCAGGATATTTGTTGGCGTTAGAATATTTACATGATTAAGAAATCGTCGACGGTCAACGAACCATCGAATCGGTCCCTCCTCTGTGTGTTATATATATGGACCATTTTTACTGATTCGTCAGTTCATGTGACCGCCGACCAATCATTTATTTGTGACGTGTTGTATCCACATATGTAATAATGTAATTTATTTTTAAATGAAAAAAAGAGGAATAAGATGGTGGGTCTTAGTTTCGAAGATTTGTTTAAATTTCTATTTCTTTTGAAATAACCGAGTCTGAAGTAAAGACTACGCTCTAATCCCATGCTTTATTACCGGGTCTTAATTTGGAAGATGGAGGGGTCTTAGTTTAAAAGGTTTTGTTGTTGTTGTTTTTTTGTTGTTGTTGTTGTTGTGACATTGAAACGTTGGATTGCGATGTTATATTTTCATGAGTGCGTGAATGAATTACCTTTCTTCATGACTGTGATGAACGTATTAACTACTTATACTGAAGACTACCAATTGGTACGCGGTACACGGTGTGAATTCATGAGAACGAAATTTATTCCAAGGCAAATACAAACAAAACACATTTATATTACAGTTTTCCCTACTTCTGAAACACTCAAGTAGCTATATAAACAAGAACAATAAAGTAAATAAAAGGTAAAAACAATAAAAGGTAAAGTGTTATTACATTTGTGGGTGTTATTACATTTATGGGCAAAGTGTTATTACATTTGTGGGCGTTATTACATTTGTGGGTGTAACACCCCCCCCCCCTAAAAATTCCAAGATCGGTTGAACTTTTTTTAGACCCCTCCCCAGGACGTTGATCGATTACATATATGTGCCCCCCAAACATCAAACTCTGGCTACGGCCCTGGGGGGAAGGACCCGTGTGCCCCCCCCCCCACCCGCTTCATCATGACGTACGTAGTCCTAACATTAACAATGTAAATGTGTGCGAGCATATCCATGATATTGATCATGAAGTAGGCAAACTGATAACTAGTTCTGCAGAAACACGTCACATTCAAAATGCAATATATCCCCCCTAAATAAAATATACAGGTGTTGTGTATATATTATATTTTGATGACTTAATTATTGCATAATCGCACCAGCATAAAGCATCTGGTGAGCGGACCTCTAACATGTCGAAAAACTCGATATGCCTCAAGTACGTTCTGGTTTAAACACAGCTTGTTTACAACCCGTGCATTCGTGCATTCAACGATATAAAATCCTCAAGGATACAGTATTGTTCATACACAATAAGCTTCAATGCAGATCAGTCAATCGAAATGGTCCATGGTCAAGCAATTAAAAAAAATTGTTAATCAATTTTGCCGATTATCATTGAATGCATGCACCTCATTTGATGATTCCGAAAGTACTTGATTCAAGCTGGACATCGTCGAAGAGACAACAAAAAGTCCTTTTTTCTTTGACTTTCATGATTTTCTTCACTTTCCTTTTTAGTTTTTTTCTCATACTCAGTTTATTCAATTTCTCTGTATAATTCCTACTGTTTTTGTTTCATTCATTTTATTTTCATTCATTTTTATCTCTCCTTTCTAACATCTCTCACTTCTTCTCTTTCACCTATGGGGAATCTGCACGCATTTCAAAATCTTTGCATACAATTATCAATGTACGCGATCAACCTTTTCGGATCGCCATGGATAGTTCATTTACAGATATATTGCTCTTTGTACATGCCTACGGCCGTACAATGGTAGCTGCGACCATGAAAATCTCAGAATATGTAGTTGCATAATTTCCAAACTGGAATAGCTAATCGGTCGATAAGAAACAATGTTTTATAGCTTTAAGGGATAGTTGAGTAAGTTCTGTTTTCAGACCGCAAATGCCTTCAAAGTGCATGCTTATTGCTCTTATTCTTATCTATGACATTAATTTCTAGTGCCCTTTTGGGACCTAAAATTGCTATGAAGGTAATTTTATACCCCAAAATGTGAAGAAAGTAGCCAATACGATCATACAAATTCAGCTCCACGGTGACCGTAAATTAATTAATTAATTAATAATAACAATACATGGGTCAGCTGGATGTGCGTAATAGGGACTTTTAGATTTGCACAACGACAACGTGGATTGCTATGATCGGCGTCCTTTTAGTACACTGCCTTGAATGCTGCAAATCTAAAAGTCCCTAATATAACCAACACGTACGACAAAGCCAACAAAAAATCTTACATCGGCATTGGCTGAAATACAACGTAAAAGGCGCTATTTCGTTTTTTCAACGGCTTTTTCAAATTATCGAATATAATTTTGTGGTGGTACACAAATATTAGAAATCGTTATATTAAAGACCGTCAATACTACTGGGCCAGAAGGGATTAGACCACACAGCGAAGTCACTGACAGGTGGCTATCTTATTAACTCAGCTCTCAACTAACATAAGAAAAAGAGGATCATGGGGGACCAACAGGCACCATTTTCTATATAGAGGGAGCAAGTAGCTACAAGTAGGACAGTGGGGCTTTAATGGATATTTCAGCCAGCTCTGAACTTATTTTGATCAAACAAAGATGATTTTGTCATTTAAATTGTATGTTCTTTCAAATTTGACACTCAGTTTTTTTATTATCTCACTGCAAAAAATTATTTTGTGTAGCGCCCCTGCAACGGGACTCAACTATCCTTTTAATTAATATCTTGACCTTGAGAGGGAGCTATACAACATAACGTGTTTATTCTTTACAAGTTTATAATTAACTTTAGACTCGATTTCAACCGCGACAACGCTTCCAATATGTTCATTGAACCAAATTCATGACCCCATATCAAAACTTTGTATTAGGTACCTTTAATGATGAAATACCAATAGTAATGCCCAGTATTTTAATGAAGAGCAGTTTGCAGGGAAATTCAATAAGCAAGAAAACAACTTCTCCATATGTTACACTTTAATATCAGAAGCTTAAACAAAACAAAAATGAAAATCTCCGTATGACCGTGGAAACAACAATTTTAATGTATCAGTCATTGGTCTTTCCAAAACATGATTAACCGACAACACATGTTCACTTCTATCACTACCGCGCTATATAAGAATAATAGGCTTAGCAGAGGGGGAGGGGTTGCAGCATATATTTCTATAAGGTACCAATTAAAGATACATACTGATAGTGACATGCATATAATTAAAGTCTATTTATTTAAATCCTCATTCCAGGGGGAAAAATCTATCGACCCCCTAGCTCCAGTGGCGTTTATTTTTTAGATGAATTTGAAACAATCTTATCCAACCCCCTCCTAATAAAAAGACAATGTTTCATAATGGGAGACTTCGTGACCTGCTTATTCTTAAAGACAATCTTACACATTGGCCCGAATTCACAAAGGAGGTTTGTCGACAAACCTCGATTTGTCGACAAACCTCCTTTTGTTTCGACAAACCTCCTTTTGTTATTTACAAACCAGGTTTGTAAAAAAAACGCGTCAAAACGCGTCATATGACGTACATAAACCTCGGTTTGTCGACAAACCTCCTTTGTGAATTCGGGCCATTGTGTTTTTGAATGATTGAAATCCGCAAACCCCTTTTTATTGTCCCATGCGCAAGTTAAGCCAGCCCCCTGATTTATCATTATTTATTTGTCTCGGCAAGGATACAATAGAATGTCTTTTCGCTGCGGGTGATGTGTGAAAGAAGGGTAAGATATATAGAAACTTAAGTATGAAAATCACCATTTTAATGGATGTGTCTTCTCTCAGTAATTTAAGATATGTATAATTTTCATTTAAGATGGTAAATGTGGAGTGTAGTATTCGGAAAATATGATTTAAAGGCGTGAATGTGCACTACCTGTAAGCGTTAATAACACTGTTGTCCCATTCATTTAGTTTTCTGTTATGTTTAGTCAATCATCGTGCGCGTGTGTGTGTGCGTGTACGTGTTGGGGGGGGGGGGTGTTGGGGTGGCTAGGTAATAAATGATATTGATATCACCTAGTGCTGTGACTGTCTACATGCTACATGTGTAGAAAATTCATTACACGGATAAAGGAAGAAAACAAATATCACCTGTTTTTCAGCATTTATAAATTGGTGAAGTCAAAATTTCACCCCCAAAAATGTCTGTCATCAGTCTAGAGTAAAGGAGCCGGTAATCGGCCAGCTCCAGTTTTCGGCCGATTGGTTGGATGCAAGGTAAAATCCCTCTAAAATACATCGCATAATAGCATAACACATATCCCACACATAACATAACATACCATGCCAGTGTCACTGAAGAACCACATTTGCAATGAAAAATATATCCTAAAATATCACATTTTAGCGATGTAATCGACGATCCCGCTACCCGAATCTGAAAAATCAAGTATCTTACGCGTGTCTGTAAGAAATATGGGTACCATAAGATGAGCTTTATTTCAAGTATTTTTCAGATTTAGAGCCCGATTTTGTGCTAGTCGCAAGCTCAAAAGTATCTCATCGCATGTATTAAATCAATGCAGCCGCACACCGCAACGCACACACGATATCTCTGTCTAATTCAGATTCCAATATCCGATCACCGCAGTACTAGTTTTTGGCCTGGCGAGCTCCGGGGAGCTCCGGCGTGGGATATCTGCTCCTCCCGCTAGTGCTATAGATCAGCGCGCTTACTATTGACTTTGTACATGCGGCCGAAAACTGGTACGCTATGCCGAAAACTGACTCCGAAACAGTGAAAATTGAAATGAATATTGTCATGGGAATTCGTGATTTTTTTCTGGGATTCTTGTTTTGTTTAAATAATAATAATATTTGCTTCATGATTTGAACAAAAAATGATAATAAATAGGAAGTAAAGGGTCCAAAAAATAGGATTTTGTCTTAAGTGGCCGAAAACCGGCTCCTTTACTCTACAATATAAAGTTTGAATTTCAATGTACTCATTAAATAATCATTTCCATACACTGTACAATGTTGATCCAATGCCGTTGAGTCCCTTCTCTTGTCTTCATGCAAACAATGCCAATCATTGCATTGTGGTCTGATTTTCCCATGAGCGTGATGGTTTTGTGTAGCCCCTAGTTTCTGTCGTGTGCAGTACCGTTACTACAGTAACAACTTTTCCAATGCCGTTGAGTCTCTTTTCTTGTTGTTATGCAAACAATGCCCATCATTGTGGTCTGACTTTTGTATAGGCGCGAGGGTTTTGTGTGCAGTACCCTTACTACAGTAACAACTTTTTCAAGAAAATCCTTGTTCCAACGCTTGTGCAATGTTTTCCCTGAGCGCGAATGCACACTGGTTTCCATTGTCCGTTTCTTTTAGTACATAAAAGTAAATATTTCGAAGCATTGGGGACAGGTCTTACGTGGCTGAAATACTGCTTTTGTTTTTTATAAATTTCATCACCATGTACACTTACGGATAAAATCTCTGTGTACACAGAGAGGAAATTACATGCCAACTCAAAGCACTAATACCACCTAGCCTTCCTGCATGAAGAGTGATGTAAACAAAATCTGCGGGTACAGGAAAATAGCTGTCTTTGTATGCCAATTTGTTAATAATAATAATATGAATTTATAACGCGCATGTATCCGAAACTACCGATCAAGGAGCGACAAAATACATAAGCAGATTACACAAAACAGTTCAACAGATATTATTTCTACACGTAATTAAACTTAAATCTTAGATAAACAGGAATTCAAATCTTATTTAAACAAAAATTCAATTATTGGATAAACAATAATACAGTTCAACATAATATAGTTCTTTAGGTCATGAAACTTAAACATTAGATAAATAAATACGTTTTCAACTGTGATTTAAATTGTTCTGTGGATTCTAATTGTCTAAGATGAGAAGGAAGAGAGTTCTAGAGGGCGGGTGCAGATTTGGCGAAGGACCTGTCTCCATAGATGTAACCGTTCTTGTCATTGGCACGACTAGTCTCGTAGCCTCTGAAGACCTCAGTGACCTCACTGACTGCGTTACTGATACCATCTCAGAGAGGTACTGGGGGGTCTGACCATGCAGAATCTTGAAGGTAGTCAGACAAATCTTGAACACGATTCTCTTCTTTACCGGTAGCCAGTGCAATTGACGAAGGATATGACTTATTCGCGCATACTTCCCTGCCTTAGTAAGAACATGGGCTGCGTTGTTGTGTACTCGCTGCAAACGAGAAATGGCTGAGGAAGGGACACCGACCAGGAGGGCGTTACTGCAGTCCAATCTGGAAGTTACCAAGGCATGGATGATCTGTTCTGTAGTCTGCTTCGACATGTATTTACCGATTCTCCTGACATTCCGAAGGTGGAAATTTGCACTTCTGCAAATGGATGAAACATGCTTTTCCATATTGAACAGATGGTCAAAGACGACTCCCAAATTCCTAGCTGAACTTGATGGAGAGATAGTATGACCACCAACGTTCAGATTTTGAGGTTGAAAAGTTGAGTGATTGTGACGAGATCCAAGCACTATCATTTTAGTCTTTTCTGGGTTCAGTTTAAGGAAACTAGAACTCAACCATGCTTGTATGTCACTCAACTATGATTCCATCTGATCGAAGGTAGCTGAAGCATCCCCTGGACGAAATGTGAGATAGAGTTGGGTGTCATCAGTGTAGAAATGAAACTGAACCTGATGGTAACGAGGTACTTCATGATAATAGTGATTAGTTTAGTGTACTAACGCGCATGCAAGGAGTTCGCTGAATTCAGTGAACACCCTGTACGCATGCCTTTTAAATAGTATTATAATCTATGCAATATTAATCCACTCATATTTGTCTCTTATATTATGAAGAAAAAATATTTGCTGTTAATCATCTTCCTATCTTTGTCCTTTTTTTTTTCTTCTAAATCTTTCAGTCTTCATCATAGACTTCTTTGCATTTTTTGAGACTCTGTAAGGAGAGTTGAAAACCTTCCAAGATGACAGCAGAAAGAGACCAGTCTGTGCTAGCAAGCAGTGCGAGATCAGCATCCTACAACATGGTGCTTCAGGTAATTATTATATCATTAAATGAATTGGGCAAGGTTTTAGTCATTTCCCTTTATAAACCATCAAATGAGCATTATGGGAGCATTATTAGAGTTTGTGAATATAACTGGAATTATGTAATACTCTGACTTATTTTATTGCTATTATTACAGGTATAATAGTAGCATCAGACAGGCCCAAGGAAAGATTAAAATATCTTTTTGTTTTACAAGCTGTTAGTTAAGTGAAAGTTGCTGAAAAATTGTCTTATGCCACATCATCATGGTGTCAATTTAATGAGTTAGCATGCTTCAGAAAGAGTGATTCCTTTAAGCAGTCATATAATATAGATTTTCTAGGTGTTCATGGATATATTACAGTAACCGTAGACTGAATAAACAAACCTTTATAAACAAAATGAAGTAGACTATCCCTTTGGATATTCAGTACCGTCAGTTGAAACTAAACAAACAAAGCTTTATCATACCAAAATGAATAGCCTTTTAATTAAGGGATGTTGTAAGTGTCTTTAGCAACTTTTTCTAATCACATCATCTGTTGAGAGCCTGAAGGGCATTACATGTTTGTATGAGATTATGAGTTAACACCCTTCTGGCTCTCAGCAGAAGATATAAAGTACAGTTTTTAAATTTTTGACCTACCTTCCTAGAACATGCTTTTGTTTAGAACATAATGTATTTAGAGGTTCTGTAAGGATGTTTTATTTCAGGCCTGCTGTAAATGGTCTCTCTTCAAATCCACATTGGAATATATTACATACTAAAGCTGAAGTTGTGTCTAAATATTAAAGCCCATTGAAATTAGATGTTCAAATTCTTTCTTTGCTTTTTTAACATGAGGTAACATTTAATGTGATTATGTATGATTTACATCTCTTAAACTTAAAATCGATTCGTATTTTTGTTTTAGGCTGTACACTCTACCCATGATCAATTAAGCAAGATGGAATACTACATATGCAGTAATGTTTGTATTCTATTTTAGGTGATGTTCCGTGTTCTGACATTCATGCTGAATGCCTTCATCATCAAGTATGGCTATGTGCATGAAGACATGTTGGGGGTCGTCAATGTCAGGTGACTTAAAATGACTATTGTAAAGTCTATGTATTATAAGTCTGGTCTGTTGGTATACAGTACTAGTATGTGAATAAACTATTCTGAATAAATGAAATTGGCTGTGTTTATCTTTAATTCAATTTGAAGAAAGAGGTCAGTTTATGATAGTTAAAATGCCTAGATAAATCCTTTTTCTCAGAGGTTTTTTTTCCAAAGAATATGGTGACACTTTGACTTTTTTCTTTAGTACAATACATATTAATAATTTTCCAAGGGTAGAGTCTTGTGAAAGACAACGGGAATTATCGCTAGATCTCAATATACAAAAATAGATGGGAGAGATGTCCTATATTGAATTATCACAACATCTTGAGATTCTCATATAGACTTAGCCAGATATCTTATATACATGAATTTCTTATTGCTTGTATTTGTCCAATTCTTTCCATCTATCACTAATTTTTACTGTCATTCCTCTGCTTTTAGTCAACATAACTTACTCTATTATTTGACTTGCCCTTCTAACTTGTGAATGCTTGTTTGTTTAAAGTACATTTCTTTTTAATCTCCCTCTCTCTCTCTTTGCTAGATTGATGCTCCTGTACTCCACCATCCTGTTCATAGCCAGAGAGGCATTCCGCAGAGCTTGTCTTAGTCAAAGTAGCAAGCACTACTGGCCACAGGTCATCAACCTCCTATGGTGCTCGTGAGTACTCCATCCTTTCATCCAAAAAAAGGAGGTTATTATGTAACAAATGAAGGGGAATGTAAATTTATGATCATGGAGGGATACGTGACCCAACTCTGGTTAGATTAACCGATTATCTATTTTGAAATGTTGGAAAACATAAATTAAGATTGCATGCAAAATTACATTTGTTTTGTTTGTCCATGTACAGTTTAAATATTACTTCTTAACCAGGGAAATTTCACAATTCTTTTAATAATGGCATGAAGAAAAAAGAAACTTGACATGAAGTGAATTGTTTTGAGAAGTATTTCTTTGTTACATCACTGGCCATCAAGCTTTTAACTGACTCTGTCTGATATTATTTTAAACATGATGCATGATGATGCATGATTTTTCCTTTAGCTGAAAGTCGGGATGTTGAGCTATGTTGGTTATATTGAAGGGCCAAAAAAGAAGAAAAAGATCATGCAATGATTTTAACATTAAAGCTGCTTTACAACATTCTAGATTTTTTAGAGTGACCTGTCTGTACAAGATTATTCTGTTCAGAATTGGAACTTACTAATTTGTCATGTCCTTCTTTCTATCTTTGTCATTCAGGTTACCCCTGGGTGTGGTATGTGCCACCATATTAAGCTATGTCTGGATAGCCCTCTTGTCCCAGCCAGACCCTAATATCGTTCCACATTACAACACCTCCGTCCTGGTCTTTGCCTTCTCGGCTGTGATCGAACTAGTGGCTGAACCATTTTGGGTGGTCGGGCAGGCCATGCTCTTTGTTCGCCTCAAGGTAATTAGCGATGTACACTGTGATGTTCCTTTCTGATTACTGTGCTTGGTTGGTGCAGATGCATGCACTTGCCTTGTTTATTGTTTATCTACAAATCCCAAACCCTGAAGCATTTTACAATATAAACCACACCCTAAAGATCATCCCACATTACAACACTTCTGTGCTGGTCTTTGCCTTCTCGGCTGTGATTGAGCTCGAGGCAACACCTAAGTCCTAGGGTTGGCTCTTTTTTTAGGCCTCAAGATTTAATCAAGATATGCAGGGTATTTTTTAAAACAATGTATCATTTTTATTTATGCTTGTCTTGTTCATATGGTGTATAAGTCATGAAGACCAAAGTATTTTACAAAATTGATTAATGAAAGGGTCTTCAGATTGATTTGTTCCAAATCTGTTTGAAAAGTTATTGGGAAACTTGCGGGGGTTTGTATAATAAGTTTTTTTCTTCTTCATTTTCTTTCATTTCGAGGTGTTTTGAGATGTAATGATTTGAATTCTATCCTTTTTACCTACAATTCAAAAATTTTATAAACAACAAATATTGTATTTGGAGTATTTGAAGGTATTTCTTCAAGGCACCAAAGCCTAACTTTGCATACTTGCTTCTGTAACATAACAGTAACAGTTTTCAAACAACATCAAATCAACCTGTTGTGAATGTAGTAGAAAGAGAGGCTGTGAGGTTGTATATATTCTGCAAAAAGATTGCTTTTGCTACCTTATGATTTGAAGTAATTTACCTAAATAATAAAAATGTATCTAACAGGGTATTCGTTTTTGTTTTGTAACCAGGTGGTGATTGAAGGGATAGCTATTGGAATCAGATGTTCTTTGACTGTCTTCTTCCTCATCATCAACCCTCAAATTGGAATTACTGCTTTCTGCATTGCTCAGGTAATGGACATACGTTAGTTTAAAGATAATTTTTGAGTAGTTCTAGTCACGCAATTACATGTTGTTGAAAGAAACTATCTAGAAGTTTGGGGGAATGGTCTATTATTTTGTCCATAAGATTATATTGTGAGTTTTTTTTCTTCATAGAATCATCAAAATGATATCAAATTGACCCAATCTTGCTGAAAACCACATAGAATGTAAAGCACTACACATGGAATGGGTATATATGGGACTACACACAGAGCATCAAATTCATGCTAGATTACCCTTGTCTTATGAGCACAGGAAACTGTGTGTGATTTCATTGATTACTTTTACACTAATCAGATTTTTTATTCAATTACAAATTATTAGTCGGACATATCTATTCAACACAATTGATTTCATAATCAATTCTGTAAATGGTGTATTTGTTGCTATATGAAGCTTAAGCTACTTTACCTCATGTATTACTGACCACACTTAAAATTGCCATATATCTTGGCCCGTTTCATAAAACTTTTCATCAATAACAAATGCTAGAAATCAAATGCAATGTCAGTAGCTTGTACAGTTTTTGTAATTTGTTATATTGATAACAAGTTTGATTAAAGAGTGCCCTGATGATTATAATAATTTGCAAGCCCTACTAGAGCTTCCATCAGACAAACATTCAAGTGAGTTTATTCTATTGGTGTCAATTTATATTTGTAATATACTATGATATTGGACATTAAAGAGGCATGTTCCCCGTATTCCAGAGGGCGTTCAAAATACGTACCCGCTGGCGGACGGTGCTAGCTGCCTATTGACACCAACAGAATACGGCTCTTACGCAGATGGCATGTTCCGAATGCCCGGACAATACCGATTATCGCATACATGTGCCGAAGTAATGCCAATCGCAGTTCGGCTCTAAGATTCGGCTGCTGTTTCCGCCCACTTTCGTGACGTCGCGATCGTCAGCGATCAGCTGGCTTGGCGAAGGCAGGCCAGGCCGCGCGTACTTTGATTGACAGCTGTATGCAAATTAGAAGTCGATCTTCGGAACCAAGATGGCGATGACTAGAGCAGCGATAACTACACTGGCGGGAACGTGCCACTTTAAGTGATCAAATACCTTGGACCAGTCCTGAGATATATGTCCATGTCTAGGTCTAAATTTCATGATATAACATTGTATTAACTACTCTCTATTATTTTATCTCTTTTTTTCAGATTGTGTACAGCTATGTCTGTGTGTTCTTATACTTCCTCTACTTCTCCAACTATGCCACATTCCTCGCCAAGAAAGATGACTCATTTCCCATCAAAGCGGCACGAGATTTCTTCCCCCGCCATCTCCCGGACAAGGTACCTTGAAATAACGATTTGGAAAATTTTGTTGTGCGTTGTTGTGTTTTTTAATTTGCTAATGTGCATTTTTTTCGAGGGAAGAGGCAGGAAAGGAATTTCAGAATCTGGAGGGCTAATCATGCCAATTCAAGTTTTTGAAATAAACATTCAGGCCTTATTTGCTATTTTGTTTGTGCATTCCTTTTTAATATGATTTTGTAGATGGTTGATGCTACTTTTACAGGATAAGTACTTTGTATGGACAGCAAGCAGTATAAATGAAATGTGAAAACTAGGCTATTAATTCCAGGTTTCCCAGGCATATTCAAATAAGGAATCCATTTACATGCACTAATCTCTCTTAGATTCAAACAATAAACACATTTCACCCTTTTGTGTATGAAAATAGATGTAAATAGAGTACATTTCATGCACTACATCACAGAAGGAGGGGGTTCTACCTGAAGTACAATACTTGTGTTGGTCAACCCTACAAAAAGTTATGAAATCATTAGCTACTACACTTTAACAATACTGGTCATTTTAAAATGCTACATCATTCGTTTTTCAACCATAGTTACCTGCGTTGAATATTTTTTTTCTTAATTTGTTGATTCTTTGTCTTTAATAGACAGGGCACCCCTTTTCTGGCAGGCACACATAGCCATAAAACTATTTTTTTTTCGTTATTATTGATTAAAGCCTTGGACAAGTCCAGAGTTGGCCAGACTGACTTGGAGTTTCTTCAAGCAAGGTTTCCTCAAGCAGCTCTTGACTGAAGGTAAGTGATGCACAATATTTTGGCCTGTTTTTGGACCTTTTTACAGGAACTGCCAGGGCAGTGGGACCTGGGCCGGTATTCAATTCATTACTTAGCATTAGTAAGAAATTTACTAAGTAAATGGCTAAGCAAAGAAATTTACTTATCTTGTATTGAAATCGCATTTTAGACTCATACTTACTTAAGACAAAATCTAAGTAAAATACTAACTGATTAGCATTGTGACATCACGTGGTCAATCAAAACTAACGCGCAATCAATGATAAAATCGTGCGCAGGTTATAATACTGCGTAAGAAAACCATATGCCTGCCAATTAAGTATTTTATCTAAGCCAAATACTAAGTAAAAAGCTTAAATTTTGTACTTAAGTATTGAATTGTATACAGGCCCAGGGCCCCTTTGCATAAAACTTACCATTGATGGTAACTTTGCCATCAATGGCAACTACCATAGAAACCAGGCTCAACAGCCAATCAAATCAAGGTGTCCATGGTAGTGACAATAATTATTGTTGGCAAAGTTACCATCAATGGTGAGTTTTGTGCAACGGGGCCCAGCTGTCAACAAGTTACGTTAATACCTGAAGTAGCTATTGTTTGCAATTGCAATTCATAAATCTTAGTACACATCTTATAGATTGTTTTGGGTTATCTATTGATGAAAGGTAAAAATATCAGATAATAAAACATAAATAACACTGGATAAGAATCTGTGATATAGCAATGTCTGCAGAGAAGTATTGGCAGAAAATGTGCTATCGTTGCAAGCAGGTTGGCAATAGGAAATATTGCAAGGGGATTATGTCAACAAAATATGTTCCTCTTGCTTCTAGAGTATGCTTATAATTTTAGTTTGTGCATCCTTGAACTGATTATTTCTAGGTGAACGCTATGTAATGACCCTTCTGAATGTGCTGAGTTTCAGTGGTCAAGGAATCTATGATGCAGTGAACAATCTGGGTGCATTGGCTGCTAGGTTCATCTTCTTGCCCATAGAGGAGAGTGGTTACATCTTCTTTTCACAAACATTGAAGAGAGGCCATAGCTTCAAGCAACAAGATAAGGTACTTGGCTCTGTGATTTTGATATGTTGTAGCAACTTTAGCTTGCTAGGTTAATCTTCTTGCACTTGAAGAAGAGCAGTACCCTATTCTTTACACACAAACTGTAGAGAGGTCATAGCTTCAAGCAACAAGATAAGGTACTTGGCTCTGTGCTTTTGATATGATGTAGAAAATTTAGCCTGCTAGGTTCATCTTCTTGCCCATAGAGGAGAGTGGTTACATCTTCTTTTCACAAACACTGAAGAGAGGCCATAGCTTCAAGCAACAAGATAAGGTACTTGGCTCTGTGCTTTTGATATGTAGTAGCAAATTTAGCCTGCTAGGTTCATCTCCTTGGACTTAGAGGAGAGTGGTAACCTGTTCTTTACGGACAAACATTAGAGTGGTCATACCTTCAAACAGTAAGAAAGAGCACTTTGTTATGAATGTTAATGCTGATCAAATGTGTATGACCAAACCACTGACCTCCTTTCCTTTGTTCATGCACGACTGCCTCCTGAAACGATCGACACATGTTAAACTGGCGTCCACCCTGAACGCTGATGTTTGATACCAAATTGTTGCAGTGCCAAAAATATGATAATTATTGAAATGTGGGTGATTATGAAAAATCAGTTCTGATTTTAGGTGTATCTAAACCAAACAAAAAATATAAAGAAACAATTTCAAAAATACTAATTCTAGAAATTACAATAAACAACTGTTAGTGATTAAAATTACATTGTTTTAATTTTGTTATTGTAAATGTAATTATTTAATTTTCATCCTGCTTTGATTTATTTCATTCTTTCCAGGATTCCATCCAGTTAGCCTCCAAAGTGTTACAGGCTCTGCTAAAGTTTGTTGTTCTAGTTGGTTCCATCATTCTCATCTTTGGCTTTGCCTATTCCTACCTCCTACTGGACCTGTATGCCGGTCCTGTGCTTAGTTCTCCCCCAGGTAGGTCTAAATCAACATCCTTTAGCCATTCAAGCCCTATTGCCTCCAGAGACCATTCTATCTTCCTCTATTGTCCTCATGTGTTGCTGTTCGTACTCCTTCATATATCCACATGTACTCCTGCAATCTAGTCGTAGCCATTGCTAAGTTTTCCAACAGATTGGTCTAGATCGATAGCCTGCTCTTCTGGTTGGCCCTAATACGCTCTTGTTTAGTGATGTCAACTCATACATTTACCTTTCCCTGGGCCCTGTCCTTTAAATACTTGCGATTGCTTGTGATCAATCACAAATATTTATAGGATATATTTATATCTCTTATGTACATAGTTGCAATTAATATCCATTGCAAATAAGTTGCAATTAATGGCAATTTTTTATAAGATGGGGCCCTGATCTTTATTCTGGCCCTGTGCATAATATTAAATCAGATCTCGACCTAGATTGATAGTCTAAAGTTCACTAATGTTCAACTTGGGTTGATAGTATACTTCAGGGCCCATATTAATATAGAAAACCTAATTGTCAACTGCATTTACATATATGTACCCAACTAAAGAGGATATTTAGTTGAAGTGTTTAATAAGATAAATTAAAGTGACTGCAGACCCTAATATTTGCTTTCATGCATCTTCCTATTTCCTTCTATACTTCCTTTCTGGCCCTGTTTTAAGTTCTTTACCAGGCACATAGAAACGTTGTTGAAGTCTGTTTGTGAATGACTTACGTACATGTGTAGTCATTTATCAGTGCACCTAACTGGATTTTTTGCATATGAAAATGCATTTTTGCTTTTGATTTAACAGAATCTTTATTCACCCAATAATGTTCAGGTCCCAAGCTCCTACGCTGGTTCTGTGTCTATGTTTTACTGCTTGCTATTAATGGAACTACTGAGTGCTTCGTTTTTGCTGCAATGAGCCAACAAGAAGTAGACAGGTAACAACTCGCATTTTGTTAAATGTTGTTCCTTAAAAGTATTTTATGCATCTGAGAGAATGAGAGAGAGAGAGAGAGAGGGGGGGGGGGGGTGTGAAAATATGTGTATGGTCAATAGAGGGAGACATTGACAGAAACACAAATAGACACACTCACAATGGCCCAAATTCACAAAGGAGGTTTGTCGACAAACCTTGGTTTTCGTGCGTCATATGACGCGTTTTGACGCGTTTTTACAAACCAGGTTTGTAAAAAACGCATCATATGACATTCATACGAAAACCAAGGTTTGTCCACAAACCTCCTTTGTGAATTCGGGCCAAAGAGTCAGAGATACAAAAGGAGAGAAAAGATAGAGCAAGATACAGAGAGTGGGAGAGAGAGAGGAATAGAACAAAGAACACTTACCTTTGACAGTATCATTGGCCCTCTCAAGTTTCCATGCAGGTTTTAATGGGTACTTGAGGTGATTTATTGCTGCTCTTAGGCTGAAATACCATTACAAGGGTGATATATAGATTGGATAGTGAGAGGGGATAGATTTTTTCTCTGATAAGTGAAAACAAGTGTGTAGGTAAATTTTGTTTTATTTTTTTATAAATGTTTGCTGTCAGGCTGTATGATACCGTACTTGCTCCTGCAACAATTGCTCTGGGCCTATTTCCTGCATCAACCAAATTCTTAACTTCAACCCTGGACCCAACAATATACTAAACCCTTAACCTAAACCTAAACCTAAACCTAACCCTAACCCTAACTTAAAACCCAATTCCAACCCTAAACCTAACCCTATAAATGTTCCTTCGATGATCAAAATGCCGGAGCAATCATTGCAAGGGCATATGTTGGGTCACTGTTTTGTGTATACAACCTTAGGAGGCATTTTGTCTGATGGGTTTATCCAAATATATCTCCATCCCTGTTAATTTACCTGCATCAACGTTCCTTCCCTGCAGGTATAATACCAAGATGCTAGGGTTCTCAATCGTATTTCTCACATCATCATGGTACCTCACTAAGACTATTGGAAGTGTTGGCTTCATCCTTGCAAATTGTCTCAACATGCTCGCAAGAATTATACACAGGTGAGTTGGACGTTCATTTTGGGGGTATTCAGAATCGTGTGTGTAAGACCCATGAAAGATTTTCAGCTTTAAACCCCATTTTGTAGTATTTACTTCTGGGTTTTTAACCTCATTGATCACTTTCTAGATTGTGATGTAACTTTGACAAAATGTGGCTCATTATTATAATTAGATACATGATATCTATGGTTCAGATTTTGAAGATCACTTGCTATTTTAAAAATAAACTGAATATTTTCAAGGGCTAATTAATTTTGATGAATTTCCATTTTGAATATCCCATTTATTGAAGTTATGCTTTAATAAAGCCCCTCTGCACTAATTTGGCATGGAGGGATTAGACCTCCCTGTGAGGTCACTGGCAGGTGGTTATCTCATCAAATCAGCTCTCAATTAACATTAGAAAAAGGGCATCATGGGGGATCAACGGGTACCGCTTAGGCATTGTTGGCAGTATAGAGGGCGTATTTAGCTATAAAAAGTGCGGTGGGGCTTTAAAAATCTGTTTGAAGAGTGATTAATCTTGTTTTGTTTCCTGATTGCCTGAATTAACTAGAGATGCTTGTTCAATATGTTAAGGTTGTTTGATTCCCATTTTGCCACTGAAATCTTTCAATTACTGAATGCCTTTTGAAATATTTGATAGAAATATAACAAGATATTCATACATTCATTCCTCAAAATCTTATAATCTCTCAATGACTGAAAATACATTAAAAGTTTATGAGAAGAGTAATTAAGTCTATCTGAATCCCTCCTTTAAAGATCATTCAGTGATTTGAATTACCTATGTTTTTTTTCTTTTCCCCAGCATCTATTTCATCACAAAGTTCTACTCTGGGAGTTCGATCAGACCACTGAGAGGGTTGTTCCCATCGGTCTATGTTCTCATCACTCTAGCTTTCTCATGGTTAATCACTACCATGTCAGAAGTAAGAAGACATTCCATGTTGTCATCAATATTTTTTTTGCGAACAATTATTTTATTATATGGTTTACCAAATTGTTGGACAAAAACCACTTGTATAAAATTATAGGGGTGTTTAACACATGTTCCTGCGCTATTCCGACCGCAGTCAGTTTCTTACACTAATCCTAAACCCTTACCCTGAGCCTGACCCTTACCCAGACCCTTACCCAGACCCTAAACCCTAACCTCCGGCTTAAACCTTACCCCTACACAGACCCTAAAACCTCAGTCTAAACCCAACCTTAACTCTTAACCCTACCCCTTACCTTGGCATTCAGTAATGCATCCTGGAGCAATTGTCACTAGAGCTAATGTTGGATCAACAAATTGTGATTAGAAAAGCATGGGAGTAGGGTGTTTGTAATGACAATTTTAATTGTTGGTTAATTAGTACCAGGTGTGTGGTTTTAAATCAATTTCAATCACTGTTGTAAAGAAGTCATGATTGCTTTGAAAGAAAATTATTGAAGAGATTTGTATATGGGAGTTGTAATCCAAGATAGTTCACGCAAAGTAAAGTTGTACCTTCCCTAGATCTCATTCTTCTCTCCCTCTCTCTCTCTCTCTCTCTCTCTCTCTCTCTCTCTCTCTCTCTTTGTCTGTCTGACTCTGTCTCTGTCTCTCTGTGAACTTTAGTGCCTTACCGCGCCACCAAGTTTATGTGTATAACCAAAAATATTTGAGACAAGTTTTTTGTATATGGTTGAAGTTTTATTGTTTATAAATTATAATGATAAAATAAGTGTTCCATGGTATCAAATTCATAGTTCATGGAACCGTTGTGAATAGATTGGTTTACTAACATATTCAAATATAATGTATACTTTTTAAACAAGGTTGTTCTTGACAACCCAAAAGCTTTCCCAAGGCTTGCCCAACAAAGCAACAAGTAAAAATATATATGCAGACTGGATTTCAAGAAGTGTAGTTCAGTCATTAATAACAGGTTAACTCGTCACTAGGTCCCTAGGAAAGAAACATCCGTAAATTTAAATATATGTTAGTAAATCAGTCTATTTCAGGAGGAAAGAAACTTTTCTTAACCAAATATTTAAATGTTTATTGTTCAGATTTAAATTATGTGTCTATGGCACTGAGTGGAAAGGTTAATTTTTCGGTGAATAATTTGAGCGTTATCTCTTTGCTCCCCAGCTGAAGTACCGTCAGAAGACATGGTCAGACAGGTTAACTCACATAGGCATCGGTGGAGCTTGTTTACTGGGTGTCTTGATAGTCATCGTCTTTACAGAAGCACAACTCGTATCCTTCATCAAGGAGCAATGGAAAGAGAGAAGGAAAGCAAAAGAAGAGGAGAAGAAGAAGAGATCAAAACTGATAGAACAGGAAGAGGAGGATGAGGGGGAGAGACATGAAGATGAAAGGATACCGGGTAAGGAGAAAGTGCAGTGATCGCAGCCAGATGTCAGAAGTGTCTGCAATGGGAGCAGTGGAAAGGGAGAAGGAAAGAAAGGAAGAGAAGAGGAAAAAACACACAGGAAGAGGAAAGACGTGAAGATGAAGAAAGGAGAAGGTACGATGGTTCCAGCAAGAGATTAGAGGGGGGAAAGGGGACCAAGAATAGTAGACTGAATCGTTACGACTGTACGAGAACTCCAACGAACAAGAAGTGCCTTTCCCTGATTGTGAACTTTCAGTATCGGATTGTGTTAAACACACCAAAGTTAAAGAGATAATGTGCTTAATAATGGTGTTTGAAATGTTTGATTCTTTAAGAAATCATATATTTTGCATTGATGTTTGTGTGTGTCCTTTTTCCTTTCAATGATCCTTCGCTCAAAGAAATTGTGTGTAAAATCATGAATCTTAAAGCGTATTTAGTTGATACAATATTCATGTTCTGTTCATTTCTTGGAGATTTATTTGATTATAAAAATGCTTCAGGAATATTTGTGGCCAAATTAGTCAGACACAGCGACCTCATATTCAAAATGATCAGCCATTTTCCAACCCTCACACCATAGTAATCCTACTGTAAAACATTTCCAATAAATGTGACAAAGAAAGAAAATACAACTCCATAGTGAGGACTAGGGATTGTGTTTCAGCGTTTGAAACTTTTAGATAGATATTATTAAAGCTAAAGATTTTTTCTAGAATATGATTTGTACTTGAGCATTCAATATTTGATGTTAAATGTATTACAAGGTAGCTATTTCATTTCAATTCTATTCAGGGTATTTTGGGTTTTGTTATTCTAAAACTTTTTAGATTTTAGATTTATTTTTCTTCTTCAAATAAAGGTAGGTAACTATTTTGCACCATTACACTACAATTTCATTCAGATTGCAAACCAAATCCAAAATAAGAACACTAGAAATAAATGATTGCCTTTCAACAGGAACAAGTATCTCCTGTTTTAATAGTTGTACTGTTCTGAATACATACTTAATTAAGAGATGAAATTTTATCCTTTTGATGTGTACAAAATTTATTTGCAAACAGCGTTGGGGGATGTTTTATTCCTATATCCAGTTTACTTCCCATTTAGCTCTACCTTAAGAAACTAAATAAAAGAGATTCCATTAGTAGACAATAATGCTCCATGACAGGGTGATGTGGGCTGAATTGAGTGGCTTAATTAGTGAAGTGGCACGAAAAGACACATCTTAAAATCCAAAAATGCACAATTGTTGGAAATCATAATTTCATCACATTTAGGTAAAAGTACATCATTGGAATACATGTCCTATCTCAATTAGGCTTAATGTTTATCTATACTTAAGAGTAAGATATGTCCCCCCAAAAAAGGTTTTAATACACAAACATCACTAGCTATTTCATCTTGTACGTTCTTGAACCATCTTTTGCGTTCTTGAAATGTCTTTTTGTGCCATTTCATTTCGCTAAGCTACCTTTAAATACTTCAATTGTTTAAGGACTTTTGTGAAATTGTCTGAATAAGGGGCATCTATCCAAGTCGTAACCCAGTAAAATGTAGTTACCATTAACAATTAAGTCAACGTCATGCAAACAAATAAGGAAAAATCATTCTTAGTTAATTTGTGTTGAAAACATCCTAAATGCTGGCATCTATCCAAGTTATATACCAGTGAAGTTGTGTTACCTTTAATAATTTAGTCAAAGTCATGCTAACAAATACGGTAATGTCATTCTTGATTGATTTCCTTATGCTTGCCACTGCCTCACATTCCTCATAAGAGCAAGGTACACTAGCGGAGACGTACTTATGTTTATTTTGTTTGTTTTATTTCAGTAGTCGTGTTTGGAGCTCATTATTCGGTGCAAAGGTGGTGTTTGTTCTTTACCATTTGTTGTAACTGTTTGTGTTTCATTTTTATTCTTAACATTGTAATGCATTATCAATTTCTGACATTGCAATGTTAATTACGATTTTTTTTTTGTTGGGGGGGGGGGGGGGTGCAGAATACGGTTTTGTTATTACCATGGTTATAGGAGATATTTTGAAATGGAATACAAGATCGACTTTAAGGAACTCGCATTACAGAAGACTGAAAAATGTAATGTGTAGAAACTTTCAAGAAAAATTGACTGCCTTATTTAAGGGAGTAATTTCAGGTGATAAAAGGAAAAAAAAGACAACCAAGGGCAATGTCGCCCTGATAGTCTTTCTGAAAAGCCTTGGAGATAAATTTGAGTTCTGGTCATGCGATCTCATTGAGAAAGAGTTGATTATGTAGCATATAAGAATTGGTGTTTCGGCCTACTGCAAGGTTCTTGAATCTGATGTTCTTCCACACTTGCATAATAACAATGAAATTGCTCACAAATTATATTTCACCTCTCCCCAGAATTCAACCTTCTCTTTAAAATGCTTGACTCAAAAGGTTACCAATACACAAACTCACACACCACGTTCATCAAATTGTATTGCTTTAAATTAGAATGTTGAGTGTCAGTTCTCCAGGATTTCTGTGCTGTTTGTTCTCTGAGAACATCTTTAAAGATCACATTCATTGAATCTTTTTCACAATCGGATTGATTCAGGCTTTGATAATGAAAGCATGTTATCATTTGGCTTTTAAGCCGTCTGGTTATATATAAATCTAATTGTGTAGAAATCAATGAATTCGAACATTAAGACACCTCTTTAAAGACATGTGATATATATGTAATCTTGTCATTTTTTGTATATTTACTAAAGTGGTGTTCCACGAAGTCCATCTCAAAGTATTTGGTAGCCAAATGAAAATTTCAGAATATTAATGATTACTATTACTGTCATAAAATATAAAGTTTTATTATTTAACTGAAATGCCGAGATTTATGTACATGTACAAGACCCATACATCATGTTCAGATTTTGCTCTTTAAACATTTTTTTTAAGGTAATGTTAGCTGTCTATATTTCCTTAACTAGCTGAAATTCGTGAACAACTGAGTTATTGAGATTGTTGGTATTGATAATGACTGAAGAGAAATCAACATTGAAAGCTATAAGAGAAAACAAATACAGTTTTGTGTCCGGCCCCCCCCCCCCAAAAAAAAATCCTCTTTAAATGCACTTTTCTCCCATTTCTATTCATTGTTGGTCAGTTTGAGATTTATCAAGATGATTGATTAGCACTTTATAATAATAATAGCTCGCATTTATAATGCGCCTCATACTTTGTTTCTAGACGCAGCACATATTATTACCCCGGTCATCGGATTCATGCTTACCCGCACACAAGGTATGCACATTCTCCACTCCCTGGGGAGCATTCCAGCCAGTCGCCATTTTACAAGCGCCATTGCTAATCAAACCACATTAACTTTCGCATCCTACCGGGTACCCATTTAACACCTGGGTGGAGAGTGGCAAATGTAGATCAATGTCTTGCCAAAGGACATTAGTGCCGCGGTGGGACTTGAATCGCGGACCTTGTGATCCACAGTCCGCTGACATATCCACTCGACCACGACACCTCTACTTTATCTGAAACTTGTTTGAAAACAATTTAATCCATGAGATTCACTTTAGACAGGTGAATCATAAAACTAACACTAAACATTTGATTTCTCAGAAAGACGGGCATTCTCGAGCGAACTATCTACAGGTTGTGTTCTACCCTTGTATGTTTAAATCCATCAATTAGAAAACCAAGGAAACTATTTGTTTATCCCTCTGACGTTTACCAACACTGCCATTACCTGTTAACCGTGTCAACAATCATTCCTGCTTCTCCAATTATTGAAAACAAGTACAAAAGAGGCAAAATAATATCAGAACCATAAAATGTTAGATACAGATATATATATCATTTGAAATGTTGGTACAGTTTATTCTGTGTATATAGTTGATGCATCATGAAATGAAATGTGATGAAAAAGAAAATAGTGAATTGTGTCCTATTATGTTACATTGCTATAATAAGCAGAATGGTTAAAGTTTACAATGAAAAGTACTTAGATGACCTGTCTTTATAGATTGTAAAAATTGTTTGTCTGAAATGTTTATGTTTGAATTTGCTTAAGCTTTGAAAGCTTGGATTTTCTATTTGCCTTATTTTGTAGTAAGAAGCGGTAGCTACAAACGCATTTCTATTTTTCTACATCAAGAATGTCTTGATTAAATCTTGCACTAACAAAATATTATTGTGAACATGTTTCTCTCTCACTTTTTTGTTGTTGTTGCCATTTTCCATTTTTGTTCCTGAAAGTTGGAATACAAAGATTTTTTTTTAGAAAGACTACATGCAGCTTTCATCCCAGTGGATGCTGCTGAGGGTGGTGTGTTTTTGTATGAAATCTAATAATTGGGTGACTTTTATATTCAAATAAAATCTCAGTTTTGCAGCATGGGTCACGATCCCCAAGAGCATGCTACTACTCTTACTGAAATGTGCATGTATAGTTAACATGGAAAAGAGTCTGTATAACCAAAAACGCTTAGAGAGGGAGAGAGAGAGGGATAGAGAGAGAGAAGGGAAGAGGAGACAGAAGGGAAGAGGGGATAGAATGAAGAGCAACAGACAGTAAGATCACTACATGTATTTAAAAAGATATGGTTACAGGAAGTGAAATTTAACAGAGCGAGAGAGAGAGACAGGGGGGGGGGGGATAAAGGTAAATTATAATATTGTATTTGCTGCTTTCAAATGCTCCACAATAATTGTAGTATTCTTGTCAACTGTTCTTCCTTTCATCCCTCTCTCTATCTCTCTCTTCCTCTCTTCATTTTATTCACTGCTATCAAATGCTCCATAGTCGTATTATCCTTTTCAATTGGTCTTCCTTTCAACCCCTCCCCCCACCCCCTTTCTCTCTCTCTCTCTCTCTCTCTCTCTCTCTCTCCCTCTCCCTCTCTGCAACTTGAAATGTGATTATTCAACTGAAGCATTACGAAGCAACATTTTTCACCTGTCAACCAATTTACATTCAGATTTACTTTTACATATCGATGTATGAAATAGATGTGTCCGAATCGGAATGAAAATCTAAATATAGGAAGGGGTTAATCATTCTATTTCAATTCAATTCCAATTTATTTTTCGGTATTGTCATTCTAATTTCGACTTGCGCTCCCTCGGGTAAACGAACCTGAGGAAAAACGAGTTGTACCCATGAACTTTACATTCATGCGCTATATGTTGCATGAATGTAACCATGCAGGCCAGGGCATATCAAGTTCACAAAGTCACTGTGTATGCTCGTCAATGGGGTGGGGGCGACCTCCTTGATATGTTGAAGAGCTCTCGAATGTCACCGCTCAAGGTTTAACTGCATATTCTCTCAAATGTTTATTTTCGTTCCCCCTCCTGCCACCGGAGAGCCCACTTAAGGAAACATGAAAATGTATCAAACTTATAACGCATTTCTCGGTGCTAATGGTAACACAATCGCGCTCAGAAGCTTCTCCAAAAATAGCGACTCGTTTTCAGGGGCGGATACAGGATCATGTTAAGGGGGAGCGGAATCTTTTCCCCGATAAGTGTATTTAGATTTTGTCAAGAGCGTCATCTGCTGAGGTTTTTCGACAGGTTGTTAAGAAGCCTAAACATCCATTATTATGTGACCAGCAAGGAAGCAAAAGAAGAATGGGTGGGGGAGGAAAAAAAGGGGTTCTGACATTTTGAGGCCCAAGCTTACCCGTTAAATTTTGGGTGGCTTTTTAGATAATGAGAGTGAGGGTGGGAGGCTGGCTATAGCGGCCCTTTAAACATTAATGATGATGATTTTCATGCTCTTTTTCCTCCATAGGGGACCACGGCCCTTTTAATGACCCTTTGGATCCACCTATGGCTTTGGATTTTCGATGCCCGTGAGCATTCGGTAACGGTGGGAGGGGGAGGAGAAATAATGTTGTGGTCATGTTTGGTTCTACATTTGGGAACGACATTCGTCCTACTTCTCTCTCTTTCTCTCTGCTCATAGCAGTCCTCTGGGTAGTCATGAGATTTATAAACGTGGAAGTGTCTCCCACGAAGACGAATGTGATGCTCATTCAGTGATGGTATATCCAGTGAAATTCATACGGAATCTCAAAGGGGGAAAGAGGTAGGAGATGAATGACTGCTATAATATTTACATTAAAACATATATCTTCTGTGTTGTTTGTTTGCTTGTTTGCTTTGCAGAAATGCCCAGAGACCAAGTATACACCCTTTTGTATATAAGCCTAAGGAGGACTTACGGGTTTAAGTCCAATCCGAGGGACTAATTCATCGAAGATGGATGCCTGATTTCCTATGACTAGCCCACTGACTTAATTTGAAACCAGTATTACTGAATATCGTTTTCGATATTGCATCTCTCAACAGAACCAAAACCGCCACCTCTGAATAGGCCTTACTGATGAAATCTCCAAACTTGCTCATGATAGCTTTTCGTAAAGAAACATTTTCGGGGGAAAATTCCACGGTGATTATGATTATGGAATGATTTAAAGCAAAATTGACAAGGTAATCGTGTGCCTGGCATTTTAATAGTCAGCAGGATCACTTGTATAGGCCTACTGCCAGAAGATACAGTTCACCCTCTCATTATAAGGGAACGAATAATAATAGAACGAACTTAAAGCCGCTCCATACTGAGTGGACCGTTTATTTCTTGATAAAGTATTCTGGCCTAAGGCTGTCCCCATGATAATATACAGAAGTGCGATCTGATCGTCCTTAAATTGACTTCTCTTGCTTTAAATTTGTATTAAAAATGTGATTTTTTTTTGAAATGCCAATATACCATACAGTGGAGCATTTGTTAAATCTTCAGTCAATTGCGATGTGGACCTCTTGTTTCACCTGTATATGAGTCGGCTCGATCTACTCATTATTAATTAATGAAAAGAGAGTATCTTTTTCTATAATTTGAGGGTAATTTGATATCAAACCACTAGTGAGTGTACTATACTGACGATAATAACAATATCGTGATAGTGTGAGAAATATGGTCATACAGTATGATAATTCACACACCTAGTACTATCTATAGTATGAAAAATGTAATCAAGTGTACCAATTTTGTTGAGAAAGGGCAATACGAATTGTAGTGGTGTATGCAGAATAGACCTTTACATTGTAGCAAGCAATAAGTGTATATGAACCCTTTCCCTTATGGCTTTTAAAGGCCGAAAAAAATATGAATACAATTTGCAGTGGGTCAACAGAGCTACCAAGACACATTCCGCCCTCGTCTATAAAAGGAGGAATTTGCCCCTCATGATACGCCAATATGATTTTAAAAAGAAAATAGCTAGATTGAATACAATAAAATTAGGAGCCCTCTCGGAGTTTGCTTTTGGAGGGCTTCACCAGCGTATAGGGTGTTTTTTTTTCTTCTTCAAATGTGGTGGACGGTGGCCAAGTCATAATTATGTATACCACAAATATCGAACTTTATTATGCTCATTCACATTTGCCGACCGAATGTTAAATGAAGCCATGAATCAAAACATCTAGAATATAAGATAGGGGGGCATTACCCCCATGCAGCCATATCTCTACGGATCCCGAAAGGAGGGCGATATGGTTCCATGCTATTGGATAAAACAATGTTAAAACAATATTGGAGTTGGGGAGGGAGTGGTAAGGGAAGGGGACCAATACAACCCCATTCGTTCCATCTGGATTGACCTATCACTGCTAGAATCGTGGAACAGATTTTATAGAATCTTGTGTGGGCCTCGTGAAGTCAGTTTAGAAGAAGACAGTGTTGAACTAGTTCAAGATAAGTGTGGTAGACGACTTTCGCTTTTTTCCAAAATGGATTTTCTCTTAATTATATATCGGTCTTCTCTACCCACAGTAAGGGCTTGATAGTTAGTCACACAGTGTAACTTCTAGCGGGGCAGTCAGTCGGTAAGTTTGTCATTGTTATTATACATCTGTGATTTTGTCGGAACATTCAGATGAACAATTTGTCGGAACACGGACGATCACATTTCAGCTACGTCATTAAAGGCGGCTGTACATCTTACTACGTCAGACTGAGAGAAGAGAGGGAAGCAAAAGACACAAGAGGGAACTTTAAAAAAAGGAGAGAGAGAAAGA